TTCTCTCTTCGGCCCTTTGACGCGACTACGAAAGACGCCGCCGGCGACCGGCCACTCGCCCATGAATTTCAAGCGGCTCTTTTCTCTCGTTTTACTGATTTAAGGAAGTTAGGAAAAGACTATCAGTCTCTATGAAAATTTTTCACAGTTCATTCTAATGCAATCACGTGGCGTAACTAACGCTGCATGGCAAGAATAATTATATTGATTAGGCAAAGTGTTTTGTATTGTAGATCATCCTGACCTAATGCATCCCTTTTGCTTTTGTTTTTGCCAAGAGAAAGAAAAGTAGTGAGAAACTTTGTAAATGTTAGGTTTATGCGGTATAATTTACGATATCACATATGTGCGTCTAAACCGCCTTGACTTGCTATATAGGTATATATATTCGTACTATAAAAATAGACGACTGTTGATTTCACGTTATACCCGCAGCTATCAAAGTATCATCCAATTTTTCTCATGTTGCGCTTACAGCATTCAAAAAGGTAGATACTTTTCCCGGTTTCAGCTTTAATACCGAGAAACTTTTCAATGGCGATAGTAAAAGGCTTTATTGTTTTAAGGGATTTACGCGTGGGCTACAATATTCCCTACAGTCAGAAACACAGAAAGCCGAGTTTTCCGGTTATGGTTTACGATGTGAGTTGTAAAAGCGAAAGCGAACCGTTTTCCGATTATAATAAATTAAACTGCCAGTAAACAAGCATGTTTATTAAAGTCTCAAATTAAATTTTGAGAAAAAGTATTATAAAATTAAATAAAATTTGTGGTTGAGAGCGTAGAGGAAAAAATATAATGAATAAAAATATAATGAATAACATGTAAATATATACCTAATGTGAAAAGCGATTTTCGCAAAATTAAGTTTATTTATTCTTATTTACAGATTAGTTTCATTTACAATATGTAAATATTTTGTAAGATTTTAATCAAATTTATAATTCTTTTATATACGAGAGACTTTAATCGAATTTCCTTAAATTCAACATAACGTTAAATTGATGATTTAAATTTAATGTAATGTAACATTAAATATAGTATTGATTTAACGTAATGATTTGATATATTGTCAATATTAATAAACTTATATTATTCTACGTGAAGAGACTGTCCAAAATTTATCATAACTTTTATAAATGTTATGCAACAATTTAAATAATGTTGATAAAATTATTGATTGTTAACTTTTTTAATCTCGTTATACGTTTACGTTAAATTTTTCTCTCTCTCTCTCTCTCTCTCTCTCTCTCTCTCTCTCTCTCTCTCTTTCTCTTCGTTTATTAAATATTTTATATTTTAATATGCATTTACGTTGTGGTGAAGGATTGCAAATTACTTTCGCCGGAAGCGCTTCTCGTGCAGCAAATTGTTTGCGAGGATTAACTCGGCAATCCTTTAAATGCAGGGAGAATACCGACGTAGAAAGATTCGAAAGTGCAGGAACTAAATAAATCGGACGACGTCCTTAGCACGCTTTTATCCGCGTGAGCCGTCGAGATTTATTAAACCTGCATATACTTCCGCATCCACTACCTTAAGCTGAAGCTTCGATACGGTTTATTTTACTCCGGCCAGCAAGTTTCCTGAAATTCAAGCTAAACAAATGAGCTTTAACGCCTGCTCAAGAAAAACAGACGGTTTTCCCTCTTAGACGCCGGTCGAATATTAGATTAAATTAATACAATGTTTGTCTTTTGTATTTTGATAAAGATTGTAATTCGCTCTCCAACGCATTGTTAAATCACATTATTTAATATATGTTTAATGAAAATTAAGAAAATTTCAAGTTGTTAGTTTTTAATTAAGTACAGCTAAACAATAGAAAATTATAAACAAAAAGTAATTTATAAATAGAGTAAATAAAACTAAATTATAAGTAAAACGTACAAACAAAATGTAGCATAATAAATAATTTGGTATTATAGAACATGCAAGAATTATATGTAACCGGCAAATATTGTTTGAGTTACTTCTAAATAATTAATACTTTTATTAAACATACTTGCGATTTAATCAGTACAATAGATCATTACTGAGCAATTAATGCTATATGAAATTAAAAATAGGAATACAAAAATGAACATGTTTTTGAATAAAATTTTAGATGTCTAACAACGTTGCGGCCGTTATGTAACACCGATACCTTGTAACGCATTGCCTGATATCGGCATTTTCCCGGTTATTTTTCTTCGCCAATGTTATCGAGTAAAGAAGAGATATTTCCGTCTTTCTCTCTTCAGATATTGATATTTCAGCAACGACGTAACCCATTAAACGCTACGAATATATTATTTTTTCTCTCTTTCTACTTTTTCGTTCTTTTTTCTCTTTCTGCTTACTTTTTCCGTCTTTCAAATTTGGACCGATTGGAGAAAATCTCTTTTTCTTTTTCTTTTTTTTCGATATTAAGAGCTAGTTGTTCCAGCCTGTTGGTAAACTATACCTAATAGTTAAATCATATGTATGTCTTTGTTTATCATTTACATTGGACAAAGATAGACATGTAATTTAACTATCAGGTAGCTTACTAATAGGTTGGAACAAAATATGATTACAACTCTAAATATGATTAAATATACTTGACAAACAAAGAAAAACAGGACGACAAATAAACTGTCGACTCTTAATTTTACGATTTAATAAAATCCTTATTATTTACATAGATTCGCTTCACCGATACAATAATAGTATGCAAAATTTCCATGTAGTTTTATAACTGACATAAAAATAACAAGTCACACACGCATTTCATATACAATTTGAATCGTTTTCTATTTTGTTGCGAATTGCACCGTGTGCTCCTTGTTTCACTGGAAATTTAATTTTCAGAAAGATGGGGCGATTGTTTAACTCGCGGAGTAATTACGCGCGGCTGATGTTAATTATCCGGTGCTTGCGTTATATGCGCGAATACTGCGAAATCGGCCGATCGATTTAGTTGAGACGCCACGGAGTGCCAAATGATCCCCAATGGAGCAAAAACAACCCCGGCAACACCAATCTGCTGGATATCGCGTAATTATCTAAGCAGAGTAATATGCACGCGCGAGATGCCACGTTTTATGGTAATTACCTTTCATGCCCCATGCTACTTTGTGCTCAACAGACATTGCCTGTTCTCGATAATACCGTTCTAGGAAATTTTCAAATGAGTCTGTAAGAAAAGTCTCATTTTCCGACGTTTTATGATTATAAAAAAAAGCACCAGTACTTAGAAACTTTCGTTAAGAAAACTGATTTCAATCATTGAAGAATTTCTCATTTTAAATATAAGATCGCAGTTGTAAGAGAGAAGGGGAGAAAGAAAGAGAATATTATCAGTCTTGTATTACACAGAACTGATTCACTCAGGCAAGATGTTATTCTACCAATCGGGAAAGTCTTACGACTTGTTCCTTTTAACCAATATACCTTCTTGTTTTGCGTCTTTTATCGCGCATAGAAGAATACGTTGACAAAGTCGCGCATAAATCGTGGCTAAGTGCGCCTTCGCGCAGCCAATACACGCGCCTCCGCTAATCCGTATTAATCGCCAGCCATTCATTAGGAAGTCAGCAATGGGTGCCGCGTAATTCTGCACCTGGTTCACTCTCGCGATCAATCGCGCGCGTTCCCCCCTTACCATAAATCTTGCCGCTAAACTGCCGTTATACGCCCGCAGAAGACAATGACCAAGTAAGCTCAACGGCTGCTGAAGCACCGGTGTTGTATCCCTACAAGCCAGCTGAAAGAAACAGAGAGCGATTGCGTTTTCTCTTCGAGATAATCAAAGCGGACTTCGATAAATTTTTATTAAAAAGTATCGCTATATATACGTATTAAACACGTACATTATCGAATATTTTATAAAATTGTATTAGATATGTGATAATTAAAAGTGCAGAGAAATACACAAGCTAAATTATATTTAGAATAAAATATTTATTAATATTTTATAATACTGGTAATGTTTTATTAAATAAATTGGGAAGTGTTGATCGTTTCTGTACGTTCTAGAAATTGAATGCATGTTTTCCGCTTTAAACGCATTTCAAACCTTCTTTCAGCCTCTTTGTTAAGTGTCAAGATCGGCTTGTTACGGATTCGTTATCATTTAAAGTGCTACAAACAAGTCCCGACGCTCTTTATTCGATTCGACGAGGAATTTAATCGGATTTTGAGTTTCGCTCGTGAGGGACCGGTCGCGGACGGGCTCCCCGTTATTTTCCATCTTTCATTGTTATCGCGACGAAACAAAGGTAAGCGCGGTCGCGCAAAAAGGCCGTAAGATGGGCTTAATGGTACTGGCACGTCGCCAAATCGCGCCGCGGGGTCGAATGCACCGATTGAAATGTTCATTACCGCCGCAAATCATCCGGCAGATCCGCGTAAAGAAGAGCCGCCTGTACTATATATATCCACCACTTCGTATCTCTTTCAGCTTGCTCAACTGCGCTAGAAACGAATTGCCACGATAAATCCGCCCGCGTCGATTTTTCTCGAGAGCGAGAGGCGCGTCGTTCCTAAGATGATGAGTTGAGATTCTTGGCGCTTATTACTGTGATTCGCAAACTTTCGAGAGAAGACTGAGAAATCTCGTCATTTAACACAATCTCAGAAAGATACAAAAAAATATTACTTTTTTTCCCTATTTGTTGATAATAGTTTTAAAAGTATAAATATAATTAAATAATAAATATATTTATATTTCTTTATATGTGACAGTCTGTTATTGAAACAATTCGTATCCGATAATTGATTATTTAAATTAATAATTCTCTTCCGGTATTTTCAACAAAATTTAAATATTAATTTCAAAAATTGTATAAATGGATAACAGATTAATAGATACAATAGATAACATATTTTTTGCAAAGAGGGAATTGCAAAGGGAGTTCCAATAAACGAGGATTTATTTTTTTTTAGTTTGTACCGATAATTCGCTAAGCGAGTCTATAGCGAAAAGCATTGTGGTGAATTGGCCGATTTATAAGCTGGTGGTCTTTTTTTTGTTCCAGACAAAGCTCCTTCGGAAGCATCCTTCAGAGGGACTGAGTATCTCACGATAGATTTGAGCAAAGGAGAACCTGTGCTCAGTACACAGGAATCCATAAGCCTTCAGTTCAAAACGAGACAGCCAAATGGACTTCTATTTTATTCCGGTAAGTACTTCCTGTGTTCATGGCGATTTCTTTTGTCAATTATAATAACTTTCCTCTAACAATTTATTTCCCCTTGCGAATTTTTTAATTTTCGAATGCGTTTTCTGGCAATTAAGAAAACAGGTTTTTGGTAACGGAAAATATTCGTATATCCGGTGAACAATTAATATGTGAGTACAATTAGAAGCGTGAAAACAACAATTGAAAATATAGATTAGCATTCAAAATTATTGCAAATTTTTTGTCCTGGAAACGGTCAGTCATGGTACGATTAATTGAAAACAATTCGAGAAGACCAACAATGGATTCGCATATAATCGAGTAACTTACGGATGACCGGATATTCTTTGAGAGAACACAAATAGACAATGGAACCATCTTGGACAATGGTCGCATATTAAGTCTTTATGATTACTCCTCTTCCCTCGTGGCGACATTATAGCCAATTAGAACGTTTCAGTGGTTCGGATACCGGACGTACGGCCAACCAAAGAAATTTTGTCTCTTTCTTTCTTTTTTCTTTTTATTTAACATCTTTTTCTTGTTATTCCTTTTCCCCCGCTATTTTAAAACGGTGTTACATAAGATTTTGTTTGACCTATATTAATCTCCAAAAATGTTTCATTTAACGTTTCCTGAGAGCAGAATAATTCACGGCATGTATACGTTATTACTTCAGGATATCGAAAATCGATCAAATTATTTTATTTATTTGTAAACCTGCAAATACACTTTGTATCAACAATTATAGGATTTCTAACTTTATGTTTCGTTACAACATTATTTCAAGAACATATATATATATATATATATATATATTATTTAAAGCAATAACGGCAAAAATAATTAGATTCTACATTTCAATTATAGTTGATTAGAATCGATTCTCTTTAATACGGAAAAGAACGACAGTTTCATGTGATAAGTGTTTGAGTTTGAAGAGTTCTTTTAACAAGTTTTAGATAGTAAAATAAATCACGATGTTGGTCTTCGATATTAATTTTAAAACTTTAACAAAATTTTAGTTTGAAATTGAAAATGCAAATTTGTAAAAATACATATAAATTAAATTTAATCAAATTTGTTTAATAATCATAGTAAAAGTAGCTGAAGTCAAAATAAAAGTTTGTTTCTTACTTGCATTTTGGTCAGATTTCTGATTTATTGTGCCTTTAATATAGCCATCTGGCATATTATGCCTTCTCCTTCGATGCACATGAACTTTCAGTTTATAGTATACTTGCGTAATGAACGGTGGAATCAGCGCAAGATGGCAAGACTGCACCATCCGCAGTAAAAGGAGGAGTTTGCACCTCCGCTGCTCCGGTTGCAGCGGCAACTCGAAACCTATATACCGGAGCCGCAATGCCGTACCACACACACACACACACACACACATACTCACATGTGCGATCACACGTCCGCATTCGCATATCCGCACCCACACAACACACAAGATGCATACGTAGCATTCGTTTCCCTCTCTCGCATCTCCGCAGCGCGCTCACACCGCGCGGTTGCTCATTTGTTCCCGAGATAAGCTATAATATAACCGCGCACTCGCCGTGCATTTGAATTGCATCTATTTCCGGGGGGCATAATAATCGTCATGCCACGCAACTTTTATTCTTTCAAATCGCGGTATCGTATCGCGGAAATTCCCTCGCGAAGCGGTAAACGTAACAGCTCCGCTTCGAGAGTCCCGCCGCGGCCGGTACGTGTCTGACCATCTTCGGCTTTTGCTACTTGCGCAGTCTAACTTCCACCACTTGGTTCGCTCACGTGCCGAGCTGCGTTAAATTCGCATTGGAATGATTTCGCCTGCTTTCAGATAACTATCTGCAATACGATTATGCAAAGATATTTCTCAAATATAACGGGATTTGCAGGGATAATTCGCGTCCAGGGAATAATTAGGCAAAGTACATTCAAATAACGAGCGAACAATGAATAACAATTCCGTGCATGCGTTCGTGGATGTATTGGCGACCAACGACTATTATTCTTGATTCTAAAAATTTTGTTTGCTTTACGGTGATTAAATATTCAGTACCGTATGCGCAACGTTGGGAGAAATGGGTCACCCATGGGAATTTTGACCAGGGGATATAATCATGACGGAAACGCGCAAGAGCTCTCGCTGCCGATTTCTCACCACGTATCCGCCACGCAGGCGCTATCTTCGCGGCGCGTAGCGCGTGTTATCGTATTTGTTTTCCGATAGCGATCCGCGATGCGCGACGCGCCGCCGGCGATAGTAGTGGCTATACGAATAAAAGCGCGATACGTAACACGCGCGTAATGCACTTAGGCGCATGCTAATGCGCCGCGCCAGCAGCAATTAAGCCCGAAGTACTGTCTGCATCTTTTATACGCTCGAGTCCCCGGCTGTCCGTGGGATAATTAGTATGCGGTTGCGGCTCGATTTTAAAGCGACTACGGCAATAACCAACGGTGGCGTTTGCGAGATTCACGAACATAACGACACATCTCGTTTGCGCCTCTCTCGATGTGTCTTAAGCATCTAATCTACTCGCAACGACGAAAATCATAATTTTGGCTACATAGCGCACATATTAATGCTTCTTACATTTTTTCTTATTATTCGCTACACGCACCGAGTAAATTAAAAAAAAAAAAAAAACTTGCAAGAACTTGAACCTTTTTCTCTTTAAATTCCGTAAATTTAATCAAATGCAACAGCTTGAAAAAAGTAAGACATTATATTCACATAAAGGTGTTTATTAAGCATCAAGTCTGCATACTAAGAGAAATTTTCTTTAGTAATAAACAATTTTTTATTTTTAGTAAAAAATTAATTTTTTGTAAAAATAATGAATTTTTGTTTATTGTTTTTTTCTTGTTTTTCTCTTAAATTGTATATTTTTATATTCTATATCTATATACAAGAATTTTTTATGATACTATATAATCGCATTCGTAACTTTTAATTGCAAAAATTGCCGTTTCATCATCAGAATCGTCTTAATCCTCCAACTCGTTACAAGTGATAACATAATCCGAGGATTTCCTATAGTGAGTCCGGTACGACGGACTCACTATAATTATTAACGACGAACGTTTTAACCGGTCACCTGGATACTAAGTGCCCCGAAACTAATGGTTAAGCGGTCGTAATCGATTTATATATGTCGCATCGCGCTATAATCCGGCGGGCGAGCTCGACGAAAAATAGAGCAAGCGAGGAAAACCGATGGTGCGACGTCGCCGCGGGGATTAAAAAGTTGCGTCGCCGGAATTTGCGTGCGCCGCTGCCGATCTTTTTTTTTCTGCAGGCAACGCGTGCGATATTAACGCGTCAAAAGGGTTCAAATGGGCAGTAATATGTCCCGATCGTATCAACACATACGCAACTAAAACGTCCGTGACGGCTGCGAGCGTTTTCTGTTTTCGACAATTTCGCGTCAGCCACGATTAATTCAACGGCATTATTTGCGCTTCAAAAGCGAGATAAGAGTTCATTTGCCGTGCGATGTATATTAAGCACCTGCGCTCACGGCACTCTCCACGACTTCATTAGTCCCGTTTTTAATTACAGGAGAGGGCGATGATTATCTCACCATATCGCTGAGAGACGGAGGTGCCGCGGTCAGTATGACCCTAGCCAAAGGAAGATTGGACCTGCATATAAAGCCAACCAAACTGCGGTTCGACGATCACCAATGGCACAAAATCGTTGTCCACCGGAAAGTTCAAGAGGTAACGATCATTATTATTTTAACTGTAGGTTACATCCGCGAATAAACGATGAAATAAGCGTTAAATACGGAAGGGTTAAAGACAGAAATTCGACTTGGAAATGAATTATCGTAGGAGATGGACATTTTCCAATATTCATTATATATATTTGATACGCTTAAATCGGTATATACCGTCAGCTCGGGTTTTGCTTTTAAATGTCTAATTTTAATGAGCGGAAGGCGGAAAATCCATCACAGTACGGACGTTGAAGGCGTTAAATTTTCACACTGTCGCGATTCAAATGGATCGGCGAACGGACGTGAGAGCAATTTCGTTAATGTCGTGGATATACACTGGCATTTATTGCGCATTACGCGCAGTAGAATAGATAACGCAATTATTTGCGCGCTACCATCGCGGGTACCGTGAACTGCGGAATGACGTGAGTTTATCAGTTTATCGCCGCGAAATATTGGCATCCCTTGTCGAATTGTAACGCATACTGTGCGAATTGGTTGCGATAATTAAAGTAAGCTAATACTTGTTCTGGAATTTGTTAATTTTGTAACAACTGATTGTTAATTAAAAACATTGTTTTTTCGTTCGCATATCTCATTTTTAACGCAAACAACATTGAGGCGTGCATTAGAAAGTATTAAAGTTGGACTGTTAATTTGATATTTTAGAAATTCTCAAATAGTTTGAATATATATATTGAGATAAAATTAGAAAGGCATAGAGAAAGTTTTAAACTAACCGATGCTGGTAAAAGCAACTATTATATGGATATACATACGCTTCATTATGCTCATTGTGCATAGAGTAACTCGAACAATGAGAATAGCGTCACATAATTGAATGCATTAAACATTAAAGTAATATATAGTGAAAGCTTAAGCTTTCAAAGATAAATTTAAATTTATCTTTTTTCCATTCAATTTATATCTTCTCTATCATTCTCTGGCCATTTATAAAATGTCTGAAACGCAATTAATCAGAGAATCTTTGGTACTATTATTTTTTATCAAGTACATTTTCTTTGAGAACTTAGGATTCTGAAAATTTTAAATTTTCCAGAGAGTCTTTTATTTTGAATATCAGTTATAACTAAAAGAGTAATTTGTTTGACGTTTCTGCAAAGAAATCCAAAATAGATAAAAAAAATTGGAGATTTGAGGGAAATGCGCTTGAATGACGCGGATGAATATGTGGGATTTTCTAGATTTATCTATTTCTGTGACCAGCCGTTCATTATCTTACATCAGAATCGGAATGCGCCACTCCGTACTACATATACAGTCACAATTTAAGGGCTGCAGATGTGCAGCGCGTCGAGAATTAGGTCGAGAATAGCGTATAGTCCGAGTAATGTCCGCCGCTGCTTTGGATAATTTTCCTGAGCACACGTTGTTCGTTTGTGTCACTTCCGCAGCTGTGTAAACGAGAAATCGATTCCCCGAACATGTGCTGCCGAAGGATCGTCCTCTGCGCTGCGGGGCTAGACCAGAGAAATATTTATCCAACATTGTAATACCAAGATTTCTCTGTTTTTTTTTCTTGTGAGCAAACGTATATTTTTAGTATAATTCTGATATTATAAACCATTAGTTTAAACATTCTGTAAAGATAGCACTTCTCCAAAGATGATACTTCTTGTCATTTGAAGCTGAACTCAAAGACTGATAAAGTATGGCTCGTGTTTTTCTCCACGATTCTGACTCTTGCGATACTGCTTGCTTACCAGAAAGCTGTAAAGGGTTTCAACGATCCTATATCGTTCCGATTTTAATCATTGACTGACGTAATAATAAATTAATCAATACTTTAGTCACGAGCAATCAGGAAGGTATATACGACATGTATGTCGCGTTCAAACGCATATTATTTATTATCGCGCTCCAGTTATCTCTACTTACGCGATGAGTGGCGATATCTCCTCCATGTGGCGTTTCAATATGCATTGCACGCGCACACGTGCGATATATGCAACTGTTCTCATCGCGTTACAAAGCGCATGTTTGCGACATATCTCGGGCGCAGCTCAAAGCGCCAAGTAATTGTGCACATTTTCAATAGTGAAAGATAAATAGTAAATTGCGAATAGAACGGGGTGTATCGGCGGTGTATGATTATTTCTCGGGTTTGTTGTTTTGCGATGCACATTTATGGTGGCACGCGGTCTCTCGTTATAAAAAGAAAAACTATTCGAGTTTATCGAGTAAAACACGCACGACGCGTTTTCCGTTCAATATTATATGTCGGCTTCGCGGAAAGTACTGACCCGGTGCTACTGACATGACTTATAATCATACTTAGCGTGGAATTAATAATAATTAATAATAAAGATAGACTGTACAGTAAAAACCGTCAAGTCATCGTGATATTATAAGATATTAAATTTAAAATTACTGTGCCAATTTTTTTTAGAAATAATATTCCGCGAAAAAAATCAATATCTTGCAGCTCGAAAATTATCTATTCTGAAGATCTCTTTAATAACAATGGATTACGAATTTTACAAAAAATTTCTGCTAATTTTAGGATAAAATAATTATGATATTTTTTGATCATGTGAATAACAAGATTATAATGTTTTTTACTTTTCACACAAAATATTTTAAATATTTATCTAACCAAGATCGTTGTGGATAAAGAATAATCTACATCGCGCTTTTAATAAGGCCAAGCTTTGTGGACAAGAGTAGGTAGTAGGAAAAATATGTATTCAGCGAGATTAGTCGTTGCCCCAAACAAGGGTTCTCACGCGACGCTCTTCAACCCTTCTATTCTACGAGCGGCGTGACTATGCGCGTTCAAACAGCAAAGAGGGATCCCGTTCACTCTCGAACATTGTCCTTCGACCAGTTACTATCGTGATACGTGTAAAGGTTTACTGTCGAGAGAAAGGTGGAAGGAAGGGAAAGAGAGTAGGAAGGAAAAGAGATTGGGTGTCTAGACACCCCTACCCTTCAGTTAAACTTGAGCCCTCGAGGTGCGACCTGCGAGAATCGACTTGCAGCGCGGATTGCCTATTACGTTCCTCCCGCGGGCGTTTACACCCGCCATATGTTGCACACACGGACACTATTATCTCGCTGATGGTTTAATTGCGCGATTACCACAAACGCTTTGCCGTTATATATGTTAACGTATATGATAGACGAGTATAAGTGTCTTTTACTTTCCACAAAGATTTTATTGAATATTTTATTTGTTTTTTAGTTGTGTAGAGTTTTGATGGAATACTTTACTTGTGTTTTTTACTTTGTGTAGAGATTTTATCGAAGATTTATTGAATATCTTAACTCATCGTAAGAGAAAAATAAAACGAAGTTTATTTATATCATCCAAATATTGATAAAATTTACAATAAAATCAAAATAATTAAAATAAAGGTAAAGAGGAGCATTTTGCAACATTCCTAAATTCTTAAACTCCGTTGATAGCAGAGAATCTTAGTATACATTTTTAGTATTTTTAGAAACGCTTATTTTTCTCGAGATATCTCTTTTTTCTCTCTCTCTCTCTCTCTCTCTCTCTCTCGCTCTCTCCCTCTCTCTCCCTCTGTATTCCCTTCTCTCGTATATAAAATATAACAGAGAAACTCTCTATTGCAGGATAGAATAGTTAATTTTAGATTCACGTTTGTTCAGTAAACAACTGAAAGTTTCCAATACTCGATGTATAAACGTTTTACACGCTTGTTGGTAGAGAATGCAAAAGAAACAATTTACAATCAATTCTGTATTCAATTAATTTATCTGTAGTTTGGTCTTTTGCTACGTACTTTGCCATCAGCTTTATTTGTTAATGAAAGAAAAAGAACTCGGTTAATACGAGTATAAACTTTTATTTTTATTCGTGGTGAAGGCTTATGCTTATATATAAAAATATATTTTAACCGTTTTAACGTATCCTGGATTCAAGTCACGTTACGCAATCGAGCAAGTAGTCGGATTATTTTTCATACTCAAGAATGCCTCGAACTTGGAAATGCAGAGAAAACAGAAATTCAGCTGGCTGACATTACAATGGCACGCACGAGTGCACTTAACGCACGACACTTCGCGGTAACGTTCGTTAGTATCGACCAACATAAATATTCTGATGACGTTCCGCATGCGAACTTCTGAGATTTCAATCGATTATGTCACCCACGAGCGCCATAAATTAAGCCCTTAAATACAATTCCCGACTTCCAGCTCCGAGATAAGCTTTATCGGCTAATCACGTAGGTTTTATTAAATTTAAGATAATGTATCGCTGTAAATGGCGGTTCAAAGAAAAAAAGAAAATAGAAAAAGATACGTTCCAATATAAAGACAGTACAATATTTTTTATTATTGCTTTTTGCTAATTGCTAATGCAAGCGTAAACGCATTTATATTATTACACTACTTATATCTGCCGCAATTTCATTCTCGTGGTGTGTAGATGAAATTAATCTAAAAAGTATATGTAACGTATAACACACACACACACACAATTATAAATTGTGGTTAAGGAAACTACACTTGTATTCCAGACACCAAGAGTTATATTGTTCAATGTATTTCGCGAGTAGGAGCGGAAAATAAAATCCGGTCTGGCATCTAGCACGAGGGATGCCTTAGAATGAACAGGGAAAACGCGCGCGTATAGTCGATTCGAAGATCCTCAAAGGGCGAAGCCTGCCACGATCGCGCGTGCTCCACCCGAGAGATTCCACCGATCTCTGACAGAAAGATTTAACACCGTATCACCTCGGAGCGTATCCATTCGCCGCGCTCGGTGCATACCTATGAGGGCAACTCGTTCGTTCATCGCGTTCCACCTCGCAACGAATTCTTCCCGCTTTTACACGCGCGAGCGAGCACGGAGTGACGGAGGCAGATCGCGTCTCATCCTTCGCGTGTCACTAGATCACCAGGTATCCCTTAGGCACGAGTACTTTCATCTCTCGTTGCCACACCCCCGATTTTTCGTGACGACAAGTGCATCGACCGGAAGGCCTGAGCCTCGTATTCGTGAATAAACAGAGCGTCTCGAATACGCAGCGATAAGATGCTCTTGTTTAAATTATAGAATTTGTCTATAATGCAATGTTAATCGACATTCGCGATTTAAAATTTTCATATTTTATCGTAAATTTGTATTATATGCATGAAAAAGAAATTTGTCGTAGTGTACTTATACTTGTAATGTTAAAAATGAGGAGAGTATATACGATAAATAATGATCTACTTGACATTTTTCCTAAGGAAAAGTCGTCTTTAAACTAACCGAAAGTTATGGTTACAAAAGAAATCGCGCCTTTTCGAAACGTACTCGATAAATTAAAGTTAAATTAAAAACTTCTGGTAAAGACGTATATCCAATTCTGGGTAAGAAAAAAAATTAACTTTCTTTTGAAATGGAACTTTTCTACTGCTTCTTCTTGAGCCACCCAGTACGCGACTTGAGCGAAGAGATTCGGGGTCGTATATATCCTACCATAAATCAAGATTTCAATTCGTCGCCTGCCGGATCGAACTTATGTGCATCGATAGCGCCTCGCTTCTCTTGTCACGCTTGGCTTTCACAACGTGGAGACTTCGGGAATTTACTATCGAAGTATGTCATCTGCGATACGTTTGTTGACGCGATCGATTCCTGCTGGAGGAGGAAACAGAGAATGCTAGTGTAATAATGCTCGTTGAACGCGAGAAAATTTGTGCAACGCGGACAGATTAAACGCGTGCGTGCGCATGCAAAGGGATAAAGAGTATGATAACGAGAATTGTTTGAAAGGCACAGAGAGAACTTTTGTGGGAAAAATTACGCGATAAGGAATACGCGTTAATGCACATATTAAACATGCATTATTTATAATTATATACGCTATTTTTTTCGGATCGTAGTACAATTTTATTAAAAAATGTTTGAAAAATCGTCTTTACTTTCTAAATTATAACGTCGCGTGATCTACAGTAGGCAAATGCCGTATAACGTTCCAAATCGGAGCCTCGAGGAATGAATATGATTTGTTAGTCCAACGTTTGTGAAATATCCGAAGAGAGATCATCGCGAACTACGGCGGAATAGAAGGATCTACGATCCTTCGTTTGCGGAATGTTTGGAGTATACGATCTAAATCCACGGCATTAAATCATTCTCGTGAGTGAGAGAGGCTTGCAACGCATTCGAGCAATTTTCCGGGAAACGTTTAATTCGTTACGTATGACTCAGCTGCACAAACATTAGTTTATTCGAATCCGGAGGGCCGGAGCTTTTCTTTGATATGCTGCTGGCGCAAAGTAGTCTTTAAATTCACGACGTTTGGTGAAAATTCCACTGGAACCTCGGGTCGCGTAATGCCAGTTTTATGTAAAATTCGTTGCCCTTCATAGATTTGATATTAAGAGTATCGTTGCAGTATCATAAATGATGTAAATTGTAGTAGATGGATTATTTGAATGCATCGTAAATAATGTAAATTGTAATAGATGGATTATTTTAATGCATCGTAATTTAAGTAAAATATTGTACATTAAAAGTAAAGCTGATACTTTTTATCTCGTATTTTATTCCACTATCTCTAACATAATAAATTATAAAATGCCTCTTAAAATATTGACTTCTCGTTATTCGTAAATTTGTCCAACTCTGTAACTCGCGCGGGGACCCAGAGCGTTAAGCTTCATGGGACAAAGCTTACCGAGTTCGTCGTAATCCCCTTGTTCCCTATTTTTACTCGGCAGTATACTCAGCATATAAATCTCATCGAATGTTACTCGCTTGAACCCAAGGGCGATCTAAATCGAAAGCCAATTAAGCAGATAACTGATGGGCAAACAAAGGCAAACATAAGCGTATCGACCTAGCTTACCGAGATATTAACATAATGCCGAATCAGAAGCCATTCGTACATATGGCTGACTGCAAGCCTTTGGAAGCTATTGGTTTGCCAAAACGATACAATCCTCAAATTGACTATAATGTATTAAATTTGATATATTATTATAATAATTACATGAAACTGTGTTCAAAATGAAAATTGCGATTTGCGTATATTTTCAAGCGATGTTATATGTATAATAATACATTGTACTTGTCAATTGTTTCGATAACACGTGCTTTCATAATCTATTATGTAATTTTCGCACAAATATTACGCACAAGTAATCTGACGTAAACATATTGTAATAAGTGCAATAATGAGTAGAATACATATTTAAATGTACAGAAATTTATATGAATTATATTATTAATTATGAAATATACACATAACGCAAAGAGAATGGACTAAATTCAACATAAATAAAATAGTCAACCGTACATAATGAAAACGTTATAAGTTTATAATCACAGTGTATCGGTTTGACGCGCACGCAACTGCACTTAATAACGGCAAACGACAAAGAAAGTCGACAACGATTGTTCGATTCGTGCTTCATTCAAAAGTTCGTGTGCACGCGGTATACAATCGCCATATAAGGAGGGATACATGTGCGTCTGTTTTTCGCGATCATTTCGCAGCGCGCAAAGGCAAGAGCTTTGTCACCGGCTTTCTCTTTCCGGCTGTTGCCCTTCTGTCAGTCGTTTAATCACCGCGTGATCAAAGAGATTCCTTAATAAGGCTCGCACACAACCGTAGGCTCGCAAACCGCCCGCGTTTAGAAAGCAAATGCCCTTTGTGTTACACGCACGTTCGAAGCATATCAATGATGGGAAATTTTACGGGTGAAATCTTGAAGTTCTTTAACCGTTCACCTAAAAGCGATCGGAAATTTTCATCTCGTTCGCAAATCCGCTGGAAGGATGCAATGAGCGGAAATAAGGTAAAATGAAAACGAAAGGAATATTTTTCGAGCTATTTATCTTTCATGAAAGCTATCTCTTTTGAAATGAGAAGGAGCAAGGGAGAGTATTTTTTGAGTATTGCTTGGATAGCGATTTCACAGACTGATATTGCATTATTACCATCTGAAAGATGGTAAAATGATTAAGATCCTAATGAACTTCTGCAAAAAATTCAGATTCCGAGCTTGACTCGTACAGCCAGGCGAAGCTTTCGTGCATCAAGCTGGCGAGCCTTCCTCGCGAGGAAATGAAAATCGGTGAAGTTTCTACAAATACGTAAAATACGTTTGCGTTTTTCGCGAGCGACGTTATTCTCGCGGCGTAGCTACTCTCGCATCAAAAAAGTTCTTATGATAATCCGGAGGAAAAGTTTCGCTCGGCGTCGAATAGCTCGCGAGCTCTCGCGGCGATCAGCTTCGAGAGCTTCCGTGTGTCGGGCAACTTTTGGATTTCAATTGTCGGTGTTGCTCGGAAACGCGCAAAATGTATACTGTACTCTGTACTAATTGCACATTTATGCTTTCTGTTTCAGATCTCTTCAATAACCAGCTTTTGCAGGGTGAGTGTATGATTTTTATTGTACCGCGTATTGTATGCACGAAGCTTTGATGCGGCCAATCGATTGTTCCGATGCAAATATTATCGCAAAAAAAAAACAAAAGAAAAAAAAACAGCGCGCAAAAGAATATTACGGTTATTCCAATTGGATTTGCATTATTTAATTGATTAATCACGATTCTCTTCTCTGTGTACTTTTTTTTTATGAAGCTCTGTTTTACACTTACTAATTGATATTACTTTTACATTTTATCAAATGACAGATTTATTTTACTTCAATTCGATTCAATTGTTGCTCATAATTCCTATGTTTTACCCATAATTATACATTGGGGTATTTGCGGAAAAGTACAAGTTTTATTCTGAGAAGAAGTCATAGAAACTCGTTTAATGAATGATATTCCAACGGAATTTTTTTTATTTTAAATCAATTAAATGTTAGGCTTGATTAAACCGTTCTTTCCGGTTCTATCCTTATTCCTGCCAAACCTCTTGCAAAGCAACTTTGCAACGGAGGGCGTGAAGTTGCCTGCATCCCAGAGAAATGTCGAGGCATTTTTAACAAGAGCTCAGTCATCCATCCGTTTAGGTCCTCCGGCCACGTTCTCTTATTGCTCCACTCATGTCCTACCGGGACACGCGGGTGATCTCGAGATCTCCATTCGAGTCTCGTCCTCTCGCCTACGTGAACGTCGTTGTCTCGCCCACTGTGCTTCCGGGCGGAAGGAATCCCGTGTGAATTTTTTATTGAAAGTATTTCCACGGGAGTGGCATACAGAAATAAGTTGACAAATGTTCCCATATTATTTATCCTAGCTCAATGCCACTAAACTGTAAAATATGCGGAAGGCTTTTACTTTATAAATGATGTTATGCCGTGACAGGAAATTCTTACATTTTGGTCTGACTGAGGAATGATTAATAAATGGTAGATTTTTAACGAAACTGCAAGACGTATTATAGTTATTGATTATAATTTAAACGACCATCATGCTTTGCTTCTCTCAAGATTGAAGTAATCGAGTTTCTAAGAGAAAAATTTTCCACAAGAAAATTTCTAATTTGAAAAAATGAAATATTTTACAATTTATATTAAAAATATTACAGCAAAACATTATAAATTCTGTTTTATAATTAATGTATAAATATAATTATTAGAGAGAGTCAGAGAGGTGTATACTTAAAAGATTTTTTTTAATTTTAATAAATTAATGATTTAGGACGATACATATTTTTTATACTGTAACTACACTAGGTGACTAAAACCAATTTTCCACACTATATTTTTGTAATGTCGACATTTCAATTGTTCATATAAGAAATAAATTACTTCATATATTGTGAGCTGAATAACACTTCAATAAACGATGAATTTTCCATCGCCTGTCTGTCTCAAAGAAATATACCGACGATTTCGAAGAGACGGCGGAAAAAGTTGCAGCTGATGCATCTCGCCTGCACTTGACTGCTTTCAAGCGAGGAGTCGGAAAAAGATTCTGAAATGCAAATGGGCGCGAAACCGATCGATTGCATAATTTACGGTGCAGCCCGCGAGCTGAAAATACTGACGTTATCACGAATTTCTTGTCACGTAAACGTAAATTACTTCTTTTACTTATCGCTGACAATTTCCCATTAGCTAAATACGAGTATTTCCACCTCATATACTTTTTCTTTAATGAAACATCATAGCGATAAACATTGATGATATACCTTATTAAAATTATGAAAATTACAACGTAACATAAAATAGCATTTTTAATTTTCAAAAATATTCCCTTTAAGTAATCTACAATTTAAATGACTATCACAAATATAATAGTTTTCATTTTGACATTTATTTTTAAAATATATAAATAGAAATTAGTTTATGTTACAAGGCTTTTTCACTTCCTTGAAATTATATTTTATGTCATATTGACACGACGCTATCGCTCTAAAAAGTAAGAATAAATCATTCTTTATGCAAAGAGCAAAGAGATCTCGTCCTGATACTGCCTTTTTCTTCTTTAGTGAGTAGATGCGCGTAGAAGTTTTCACATTTCCCGTCTTTTCACCTCAATGTTTGAGTCTGAACCGCTCTTAAGACTCTCGCGATGCTCCAGTAAATTCGATGATGACGTTTCTCCAGTTTTCCCCGGTTTCCCACGAATCTTTTTCCTTGTTTTTCACTCATTCCGCAGGCAGCCTTTCAGGGTGTCGGGTATAATTTACGATCTCGTTAAAAACGTAGAAATCATTTATTTCCGTGGTACGACGTAATGTAGAAAAACGATCGGCGGAACGAATGAAACCAATAGTGAAACGGGATCATTTTGCAGCTTCCATTTTTAACATTGAACAACATTGCTGTTAGTTACGCATAGGTACGTCGGATTTTAAAACAGATTGCAATTGTAAGCATTGTTAAAAATATTATATTAGATTGTTAACATTTATAACATTTTAGTATCAAATATTTTAATAAGAAAATGTAATTAAGATATTATTTGAACATTAATCTTTGATTCTATAAAAATTTATACAAAATTCTACAAAAAATTTTATTTCTTGATTTTTATTTTAGTTGTAAAATTTAGTTAAATTTTTTAAACCTTTACTTTTAATACCTAATGTCTTTAACTTTATAAAACACTTTTAAGTTTATAAAAATTTCCAGATTTTTATTTCATGAGATATATGATTTTTAATGCAAGTTTTTTATCACGTATTAAAGAAGCAAAATTCAATACTTATTTTCTTACATTTTATTTTATTTACGATGCGATTTGTGATAGACTCACGAGGCAAAATTTAAAAATCGTTAACGACAACAAAATGTGATGCACTTTTGCGTCCCCACGGACGCGTACAAATGCACAATGTCCGTCATCCGTGAGCGGCTAAGTAGAGCTCACGTCTGGTTGTAATAAATAGTCTACTCCATCCCCTTGTCACTCCGTTCGCTCCATATTCGTCAAACGAGGATCAGCATACTCGTTGCAAGAGGGACCCTCTCGCGCGTACGTTTCCTCCGGTGGGTTTGCGGCCCACTTTCCCGGCTACGCTTATTGTGTTGCCCCAAATACGTTGTGCACACAACCGAGGAATGTCTCCTGACGCTCGGTGGCTCACGATTATCACGAAGCGGGGAAAAAGGTGCTATTAGAAGGCCCGCTTCCCTTAAACGAAGTTCGCACGACTTCTTTTCGCGCCAATGTTCATTTAGGTTTTAAAGTAATATGTATATTATAAAGAGTTAATTTTAGTTACATTGCATGCGTATACAATCTTGAGATGTGGAACTTTCTTATATGCAAAATTTTATTTAAAATATGTAAACGTTTGTGCTATTATTTTATATATTATCTAATCTTTTAAACTGTTATATATAACGCAGAATTAATAAAGAAAACACAAGAACTTATAAAATATTAATCACCGAACTTATAGCAAAAAGTGACAATAACAAAATGCGCATTATATTTTAAAAGCGACGGATCATAAATTATCATGCTAGCTCAATTTCGGAGAAAGAAAATAGTTGCCTGTACAATGAATTGCCAATTCAGTTCACATTGGGACACTGTTATAAATGTTTAAGACGACCATTAGCACGAGTCAGCGAGTCCAGAAGCGGCTAATGAAGATGGAAAATTAATTAAGTCGGAAAATTAATTTCTTCCTCGTGATAGAGCGAGATATTGCGGTTGCCCGATTCAAATCAAAACTGCAAATTTTGATTTACTTCGACTTAATTAAATTTCCACCTGAATTAGCGATTTGCCAAAATGGGCTAATCCACCGGCGTAATATGAGCCCCGCGGGAGATGTAAAATTAAAAATTTATAAAGCCAAGTCTATATATTTAAGATAAATACATTTTCCCTGTATAAAACAATTTAATTTTAATCTATATACCTCTGTTAATGGTTCTACAAGGAAATCGGTGATCGATAAATAATGATCAGAAACACATAACATAAACGAACATTTAATAACTTATTATAAGAAGCGATTTGACCAATAGCGGTTTGCCATTCATAAATTGATCATGTAAATAATTAAACATGTATAAATTTATTACTTATGGCTACGAATATCATTTTCATAGGAAAATATTATGCGTGTTTCTCATTTAAAGTTACACATTTCAACTATGCCATATCGTTTCAATCGGGACTACATATAGTAAATTTTGTCATAAATATATGCAATTGTGGTTAAATAATGACAGAAACGCATTAACGTATCTTTATACTCTTTATGCAAAGTACGCTTTACGGTGCGGAACACCGTTATTCGCAGACAGTTCCTTAATTTCATCGCGATGAGCTTGAGATCTATTTGTTCACTGAGAAGCATCGGAGATAAGGCCTCGAGGATTATGAAGGAGATTGCTCGACTGCGGTCCAAGGAAGCGCCCTCGACAAGAGAGCTACCTAATTACGATGAGGAAAGGCGGAAGCGCCGAGCAGGGCCGGCCCTATATACCTATACGGCTTTAATACTTCACGTCATATTTTTGGAGCTAAATTAATTATAAAGAGATTATTTTTCACTTTATTTTTCAAAGTCTTAGATCTATCTTTATTATAGTTTTATTTTATATTTTGTTTCACTGCTTTGTGTTACACCTTCGTTTTTTAAAATTACGGATTTAAAACAATTTGCACTTAAGCAATAATATACTTTATTGTTACAGAAAAAATTAATAGTTTTATATAATAATCTTATTCAGTTTGTTTCTCATACAGTAATCCATTTACAATGTACTGACCGTTAATATAAACGAATATAACGTTTATTCTATTATTAAATTCACACAGTCGTGCATTTAAAAATTTTTTTTACATTAAAATAAAACTTTCCGTTCTTATGTTATTATTTAATTAAAATAACGAAGTTAAATTAATATTTTTACTGACTATTTCAATTTTATATGAAGTGTAAATATGTGCAGTAAATTTTCATGATTGCATTAAACAAAAGTTTACATTACAAGCTCTGTAATAATTAACATTTTGCATATAAAACTGTGAATTGCATATAAAACTAAAGATTTTAATTTTTATATTATATCTAATATCTATATTTTTAAGTATGTTTAGTATAAAATTTATTGTAAAATTTAAGATGTTTTTGAACGTTTTATTTTGTATATGTGCAATTGTTTAAACAGAGAGTCCTAAGATTTATTATTTTTTGCCACTAAAAATCTCGCGGCTGCATCGTGGCGGCCCTGGTGGTAAGCGAAGATGAAGAGTAGTAAGAGGATAGTATCTTCCTCTCAGTTAGATACCTCTGAGAGGTACGGCGAGAGGACGTAACATCCTAACGCTTTAACCCTGCTCGTTCTACCCGGTTTCCCTTTCTGTTGGTTAAAGCGTATAGACGAAAAAGGAAGCATATAACCGGGAGATAACGTCTATCGACACCACTGCTAAAGTCGTAACGAACCGCTCCTCAAGAACGGCGCTTGTCTAAATGCTAAACTTTACGGCATGCCCGCATGATCGTTCCGGAAACTTTAGCCGCTCTTTTTCGGAGATGTGGAAGCGCGTTACCGACGTTAATGCTGGTTACTCTTTCGAAGAGCAAGATATAACGACGCTTGCAATTTACCGATCCGGCAAAAAGTTACGGGTGGAATAAATAAGCCTTTATTTAAGAGATGTAGACTTTAAATAAAAGATTATTAGAAAAATCATGAAATACTTCTACAGCGCAACAAAGCGAATACAACTCTTAAATATTATGTTCAAATTATAAACATTTATTTTTTAATTCGAACGTACCAATTGTATGCAGAAAACAAACTAAAGTATAACAGAGTTAAATTTAATTCTATAATTCGTCGCGAGATGGAATTTTTATCATACCGCTCTTTCTGTTATAGCTCTCTGCTATTGTCGATGGGATTTACGCTGAGCACGGTCATACCGCGGGAACGTTCACACATTTGGCGAGCGATCGACTTCTCGTTGGTGGCGGCGCTGATGCGAGGTCCTTGCAGGGCGCCAAAGGGATCAACAACTTCGTCGGATGTCTGAGAAAGGTTGGATTGGCAGCATGATTTATTTATACCTTTCAGTAACTTTTCCGTCTTTACACCGCAAATAAGCTTAACTGGAATCAAAATTGCATAAAGCGTAATAGAAGCCATTAACCATTTTAATGCTAGCTTTCTTCACAATCTACGAAAAGATTACAGTTTCAATGTTCTGCAAGAAAATAATGTAAAAAACTATTGGTGAAACTATTTTTAAACGTTGGCTTTAAAGAAAAATCGAAGAGCTTAAATAACGACAAGTGATATAAACTCTACATAATATAAAATTATTATTTCTATTTTAAGAAAAAGAATAAATAATTATAAATCTGAACGATAAATAATTAGTGATTAAAACAAAACGTATCTTGCAGAATAAATTCCAAAGGAATAAATGAATTACAAAATTTATATTCTTTAATCCAATTCCAACGTACTTTATTTAAAAATTTTTAATTTTAGTTATAAAGATAAGCGATGTTAAATGGAAAATTGCATTAAGTGATGATCTTTGATATTTTCGTTGAGAAGGATTAACTGCGAGCTTTGCAATAAATTTATAACTAAAATTTGATTAATTTATTTTAATATTTCGTATTAAGTATCTCTCAATCTCGTGTTAAGTATCTCTCATCCTGACCTGATTTTTTTTTTTTAATTATATGTTAACGTGCAGAAAATAGCTTAATTATAGGTGACTGATTCATTGTGTGCCCTCTTATTTGCTTTTATCGCAAATGGTTATTTTTCCGTGCGAGAAACAATAATAGCGATGACAAACGAATCATACTGTCGTCCGTCGTAATCACGAAACTGCCCTTTTGTGCTCTTTTAATCGAGCATCGAATAAATAACTTTGGTACCAAAATTACACGCCGATGGCGAATCGAAATAGTACGTTATTGAACATTTGACGAGATACATAGTGCCAGTAAAGAGAACAGAGAACGTAATCATAGACTCGCCGAGTTCTTTCGAGAGCATACATGTTGCTTAAACATTCTGCGCTATAATAAATTTGATTAAAAGAGTGGCTCTTATATATACGTAGTATAAAGGAACGTAATATATGATGCACTTATAAAATAACGAGATTCTTGTTAACTTTGCACGAATGAAACAAAGTTCAGGAAAGTGTTTGTCAATTTTTTAAGTTTTGATTATACAATGCGCTTCTAAAATACTCATTTTTAAGAATTAATATAGCAAATAATGTGCGTAATTGCGTATGTAGTTTTAATAATCTGCAGAAAGAATCCAAGCTTTGTCAAAGTTATCGAAACTTTTCGGTGAGCAACAGTAAAAGTTGGAGTGATTTCTATAATTAAGAGCCTTTAAGTAAATGATCACAATGCCCATTAAACTTATTAAGTACTACGTAAGAATATTTTTAACTGAGAACTTTCACACTTTAAGCTCTCGAAAACTCTGGAATTATTTCTATCGGGTAGGACGACGCACATGAACTTTCTGTATGGACCAATAAAAATGTCCACCCAACAGGGTGTCGACGTGGTCATCGTAACGCAATGAAATATTCATACCAGCAACTTACTTGAAGGGGGAGTTTCGCCGTGAAGTAAAGTCGAACTAACGCGCCATGGGTGGCGACAAAGAAACGCGAATGAAGTGATAAAACTTTTGTCACAATATAAAACGCATCACTGAGGCAAAAGGTTAATGGCGACTGTAATTTGCTGACTGTTTGCAGCTTAAGCAATGCGATGCGAATCGCCTGGTGAATTATTCCTACGAGTTTTATTTACGACCATGCGCGCGCCTGCGATATGTAAATTGTTCGGGATTCCATCGCGGTAAAGTTTCGACTTCTATCTAAGGCTTTTACCCCCCGTTGCAATCATACTGCATTATGACGTTAGAGGCGAAAAATCGTATACATTTTTCTCTTGCGTTATACATCAAAATAGATTAGTTTTTTTTCCCACATTTGTCCACTATCCATATTTGCAGATCTTTATTGATTGAATATTTTTTACTAGCATATGTTCTCTTAAATTATTCGATCAGCCTGCAAATATAACATAAACACTCAAGTTTTTCTGATTTTATATAGATTAAAATATTTTTTTTACGTGCATCAAGTGCTTTTATACATTTCTTGATGGACAGTAATCTTTATCAAAAGTAAGATATTTCATGTAAGATAATTTTCCATTTCTTTGCTTATCTGGATCTTTCTTCTGAGAATAGTTTGTTCCTAGAAAAACGAGCATGATATGTATGCAGCTATGTGTTACAAGGACTCCGGCTGTTTATATTGCCAGTTTAAATAAGGAGAGATATTTGTAGAAGATCCAGATTTGACAATAATTTCTCTTTTCCAAGCGCACACTAAAATTTAAACTAAAGCATCTAATTCCGAGTAAAATTTTAGAATGCTGGGCACAGCTCAATAATTAATATAAGAATTTAAATTAAGAACGTATGCTACGTTTTAAGATTACTTACAGATAATTTTAGAAATTCAAATTACGTTTAAATCTCTTCGGATTATCAAAGAGAAAAACAATAGCCAAAACGTGCACTAATTCTCGTGACCATATGTTCGCAGGTGGAGTTTGCCGCGGAAAGAATCAGAATGGAGCTAATTGAGGCGGCCAAAAGCGGAGCGGCGGGTGCCGCAGCTTGGGGAAAGATGGATTTTCACTGTCGCGAACCCAGAACCACAGATCCGATCACGTTCACCACCAGGGACTCGCATCTCGTGAGTAATGTCCTTAATCAATACTTGTATACGCACACTCATGTTGCAATGCTAATTTATAAAAAGGAAAAGCAAGACTGTCTCCTGGAAGAATTTTTCTTATTCTAAATACAGTAAACCTACAGACATATGAGAAATGATTTTCTACTCTTAAAATGTCGTAAGTCTTTTACAGAGATTTGATAAAAATTTTCTTTAAATCGATGCAGCTTTTAACGCTTCTCCTTTTAGACGAATGTGAATCCACATATTTTATATATGATCTACATTAAACTTAAAAGCTTACAGGATATTTAGAACAGAGAATCAAATATGTAACAGAGTTTTTGTTACATATTTGTGAATCGAACGTATCTGCACCATTCTGGAATCATTGTTTTTGCTCAAGAATGTAGACAGAGCCGCGGCAGCGCGGCACTTAAATGCACGTGTCTCTTAAATAATGCAAAGGAGAAATACGATCCGATTCCATTATCGAGTAGAATCGTGACGATGGAAATATCTGATTAAATCGGGAATGCACTCGAGGAAGTTTTTTGCGCGAGTCAAGCAAGCTGCAAATAGCCGTTCGAAGCAACGGCGCAGCTCGCTTTCGAGTTTTCGCGAATATCTCCGAAAGTAGCGAGGTCAAGGAAACTTCGTGAATGTCCTCGTTCTAAATTACCATAGGTCTTCTTGACTTTTTTTTATATTGGGGGGCGTATTTAAACTCTTGCACATAGCGCGCGTAGTCGATTGCCGATGCGCGGTTTGTAAGTTCCGCGGAAAGAAAAAGAACAGTAGAAGAAAAATATTAACCAGGCGTATAAGCAAATACATGATCCAATACATGTAATTAATTACCTGAAAAAAGTACACGTTTTTTAAATCACATTATTGAGGTATATAAACATAAAGAAACAAAATGAGAGTACGCCATGTAGGTTTCATACTTGAAACTGTCTCTAACATACCAAAACTTCGATATTTCGTTCTTTTCTACCTATGCATTACTGCTGTACAGCGATATTAATGTTTTTTCGATAAAGCACTGTCGATAATTTTCGAGCACATCCCTCGCCGATACTTATAAATAGACGCAGGTTACCTACGTATAAAATTTTCAATTCTTTTTAAATACTTTGCAAGCTTGAGAATCGATTCTTTGAATGTTACCGACATGAAGAAAATTCGACGTAATACGCCGATTTTCCTCGTTACAAAAATTCTTGTAAGTCTTCTCTTTTGTCGTATCCCCGAAGACACTCGGACGTGTTCTCGCAGAGTATTAGAGCACTAACGCAAATGCTGTGCGCACCAGCGTCCTCTTATGCGCTTTTACAGGCCACGAAACACCGTCGTTACCATTGCAAATCCTTGTTACACCGGCCATCACGGTGTCAAAAGCCAAGAGGACGAGGGCAAATGTACGTGCCCTCTAAAAGCGCATTTCGCTCTCGTGCAGGAACTTGTTTATGAGCATGACCGTTCTTGCATTGCTCTCCATCGCCGCGGTTTACGCAGCCGGTGCATTAGTGTATCCGTTCTAGGATACGCTCTTTTCCCCTTGTAAGTCCAAATGATGCGGATCACCGCGAAAGCACGACGCTCGTTGTTTTCTGTATCAACTATAATGCAATATAGGATATTATTCGCAAATTATGTAATAATTTATATAAATGTAACCGACCTAGAAAAAAATCATTATTTAATCGGTTTTTCTTTAATTAAGTAATATTCTTGCATTGCTTTAGATAGACAGAGCTCTTTAAAAGTTATTTATTTTCGGTAGTTAATCACTCGGAAACTATTGATTTATTACTTTTCTTTAGGAAAAATTAATTCCAAATAAGTCACTGAATTCGTAATGAAAATTAAATTTGGCATTTGTAGTTTTTGGTCACTCTGTATAAACTTCAAGCCACTATATATTCTATCGTGCAGCTTTTTATCATGCATAATGTGCACACGATAATAAAGCCAGCGCACGTGATCCTCTGCAACTGCTTTGGGTCATCGAGATTTTTAATTTAATAAGAAATTACTTTCACTTTTTTTTTGTACTTAACATACGTATTATGTACGATATCCATGAGCTACTTTAATGTAAAATACACCGCACCATTACTTAAAGTTAATGAATCAAATCAATGCTTCCGAGCATAGGAATATAATAATTAAATTATTATATAATATTCAATATAATTAACCATATAATTCAATCAGGATGTATCTTAATGTAGTCAACGAGATCAGATAATATTTGATTAAATTTAAAAACGTACTTAAAATATAGCTAATATACGTATGAGTAAAATATATCAGAGCCGATTATAAATAATACAATATTTTGTACACGCATCTACTTCTACAATTTTTTAGATACCGGGTTGAAGTTTTGCACACAGTTTTATCATTTATCATTAAAATTACACATTGTAATTTTAATAAGCGTATAAAAGATCATCTCCATCAATAGCGCTCGTTTGCTCAATACGATAACGCAATCGATATTATCTTCGATCACCAGATAGTATCTACGCATTATACTCGTTACGGCGTGCAGATGGTTATTCAATGCACTCGCATTCGTGGCTCAGTTATGTTATAATTAATATCGATATCGGCGTACAAGTGCAATTATCTTCGGCGCGTCCCGCGCTTATAATCGTAATGCTGCATTTGCACCAGATTCCTGTCCATTTGGCAAGGGAACGTATATAAATTATACGAATGCCGGTATTGTGTTGACACGTTCATAATTAGATCAAAGGCTTCGATGTCTGCTGCGTTCAGATATCGACGTTACATCTCGAGTTACTTTCGAATCAAGGACCAGGTCACGGCCGGGCGGGGATATATTTTCGTATATGTATATATAATACTCGCAATACTCACGATGGATATTGCATTTGCAATGTTCTATATCCAGATTAAAGCGCTGTACATTATTCCATATGAGCATATGTATCAGCAATAAAATTGAAAAAGAATTTTTCGCGATGAAAATTTTGCTAGTTTTTTCTGTTTTAAGTGAATTAAATTTTCGAGGATCTCGCAAATATTTAACATTTGAAACGTTATCATTACGTATGTATACGTAAATATATTTAAAAACTGAAATTAATTATATCTACAATATTATTTTTTTACACGTACAGATTTGAGAATCGATTTATCGCTTCATTATAATTACTCATTTCGTAAATTCACGATTTCTTTGCCCAATGGGTCTTTGATTCTGCATGTTTTCCGTTTGTCGCACCTCATTAATTTTAGAGTTCATAGGATTTTAAGGATCATCGAATGACATTTTACTGCACATATCCTCGTTCGCAACCGTTCGCGACATTTGAAAATTAGTGTTGAAACATCACAGCGACCACACGGTGGACTATTTTAAGGTAGTAATTAGTAGATGAGATGTCTGCGAGAAACTCCCAGATCGAAGCGCTCGTTTGCTGGATGGCGCAGTAGTCCAAGCAAACGTCAATGCAGACGTTACAGTGGTTACATTTTAATTATCGAGAACTGCTACAGCCTTGCTCGGGTGTCCTCTAAAGTTATTCCCAGATTCGTCGAATATACTAGTATTGAGATTTTATCGTGGATCTTTCATTTATATTTCTTACTATATTTTCCAAAAAACTTGTTACAACAAAATATGTATATATAGTATGTATGTGTACGAGAACATAACAAAAAAACTATTACTGCTCACTAATATCGAAATAGTTTGAAGTTATATAAATTTGAAGTTATTTACATATTAATTTAACCGTGAAAGGGCGCCCGTCGTCATTTATAGCTCGGTTATTTTAATTGAAACTCGTTATACTCGAAATTACTCCCATCGCACAGTATCTGCATTATCGCATTATCATATTAATTCTGTCATTTTCATTTGTCAAAAGCAAATTGTACATGCTATTAACAATTAAAAATGACATTTTATCGATTTTCCGAGAAGTAATTCTTTTCGGGGTATTACAGAATTATAGTACAAAAATTTAAGAATAATTTGAGTGAAAAACGTGAATATAATTATCTTATGTCATTTAAGGTTAAACTAAAATCGATATTGTTATGTGGCGAACACTACGGATTACAACGACAATGCAAAAGCGAAAAGGGTTTTGACATAGAATTTTTGTTACATTTTGCGGCATACGTACGGCCGCGCGCAGTGGGTTCTTGTTCCCTCTGCTGCATTACGTGCACCGAACACATTTGCAGTACGAGCGCGTTGGATGTATCGCTGTTGTTACACGCCGATTTTCCTCGTCTACACGGCAACGCGTCCCTGATTTATTCTACGGAACTTCCCGTGTTCGGCCATCTAATGTACCATAGAGTCATATAGCTATCCCGTTGCACACGTGGCTACATGCATCAGCTAACTACGAGGCTGCACTTTTTCATCCGTCCATTCCCTTCCAGCTTCCACAAAATTAGTGTCGTTAATAACGCACCTTGATGTATAATTAACGCAACGGGCAATTTCCATAAAATAAATGTTCAATTATGGCTACTAATTTTTCTAATATTGCCAAAATTAATGATTTTTATAACGAATATTGTTCTTTATTTTTCTTTGAAAATTATTAATACATAGTTATTATTTATACATAGAATATACATAAATTGTGTTAAATTATTTTTTTATTGAAGAACTCGTTAAAAAAAACGTATAGTTTTACATGCCACAAAGTTTGCCTTACGTGCCTGCATTATAGATCATGAAAATTCGTTGTCGAGGAAGTCGAAAGCTGGACGTCCCGATTCACTTATTTACTGCAGCAACAGAGCAAGCGCCATTAGCGCAAAGTTAATTCCAGTTAAAGTAGAAAACTCGCAAAATTACCGCCGAGCTGGGCAACATATTATTAACCAGCTTGCAGTCGTTTTCGCAATATTACATGGTTGCTTGCGGTACATGTTATAAATGCAAAATGCACAGAATGCCAGCAGCAGAGTCATTCTTCAAAAATTTCTTAGATTTAATTTACGAGTGTAGGATA